TACATAAACCAAATCAACTAAGTATTCTAAACCACATCTTCACTCTAGTGGTTTATCAATGTTTTGTTAAGTGTTGAAATTTCAATCTCCCCAACACTTAAAACTACTGGGAAAAGCCACTTGTCTTCTCCATCTCCCAAATTCCTGAAAATATTCTTCTCCCTTTTGAGAACCGTCTTTTCCTTCTTATATTCTTATTTCTTTGATGAATATATTCTTATTTCTTTGATGTAAAGCAATCTGAATGGAAGAAGTCTCCTTGTTCCCTCTTCCTTTTCCTCCCAGCTGCTATGCTAGTTTCTTCATTCACTTCCTAGGATCCTACACAAGGGACTTACATCTCACTTTTCAAGGTGATTCTAAATTGCAAGACTCAGTAGTAATGGATGAACACAAAAGGCTAAGCTTGCCACAGCCCTGATTTACAAAAAGATCCCAGCTGCCAATACAATTAATTTGTGCAAAAGTTTCAGAAATGGGGGGCGGAATCAAATGAGAAATTATAAACATAGATTTAAAAATAAAGATGCAGGTATTTCCACTACAGTTTTTTTAAATTAATAAACTGCACATTTTCTCCAAAGAACATTCCTTTTATTTTATAATAAGGTTACCTGAAGAAATACAGTTTAAGAAGTGACTAAAACCAACAAAGACTGGCACTGATTATGAAAAAGTTCTTAACCTTTTTTAGCAGTTTCTCATTTCTCAGTCTTTCACAGACTATTGCCACTTCTGCACCTCGTGGTTCAAGCACTGAATTTGCTGTCAGCTTTCCTAAATTTCTCAACAACACAGAAATGGACATCTCCTTCAGCAATGCCTTCCAAACCTATGATCAAAGAAAGAAAAGTTAAAAAAAAAAATAATTAGACTCCCAAACGACAAGAACTGATATCTGTATATTAAATAAGCACGTTTAAAAATAAATGTACAAGTTGTATGAAGATCTCCAGTATTTTAAATTAGCTACCTGGGTTAAAAACTTGAAAACCAGCAAATGAGCTATTTTTTATGGAAATCTAGATTAAGACTGAAGAGTGTTACTTTAAAAGAGAGTACAAAGATAATGACGTTACCCACCTCTTTAGACTTCAGATGGTTTGTCAGGAGTTGCTCTCTAACTAGACCATATTCCTCTATTAAATGAGTAACTTCCAACTCATCTTTTGTGTGTTTTACTCTCTCCACAGCCTCCAGATACTTCAAGAGCTTTTCAATCTCAGCAGAAACTGCTTTGTCTTTATATGCCTCTTGGACATCTTTCCACCCTTTGGTAATATATTTAGTGACTACAGCAATTCCTATTATGAAGAAAAAAAATTTTCCAAGCAGGATTACTCTCTTTATACTGGCATTTCTCATACTAGCAAGGAAATGAGTTAGCAGGCTTCATCCTCAGACCTGCCAACCAGCTATAAAAACGTCAGCCACATACAACTTAAGAGCAGTAGTTTTAATTACCATGTTATTCTGTTTAGAAGTAAAGAACCTAATGTATTTGAAACAAACAGATCTTCCCAAATAATGAGAAAGTGTTATTTCATCATTTGTATGCAAATACAAACAGCTTTATTTTATCTTAAGTGAAAAAAAAAAAGGAAAAAACCCTGTTTACCTTGAAGATAAACAGCAGAGTTTCAGATATGAACACTCATGTTTTTAAGGTGCAATTTACAGGATGTCACCACTATGAAATCATCAATTTATGATGGTACTTTGGTTTCAAAAATAGTTCCACAGTAAATAAACATGGTTTAAAAAACCCACTATTTTCAGGTAAATAAAAATTTATTACCTTCACTGGCAGGTTTTAGGTGGGACAACCTCAGAAGATCTTTATGAGACCAACCACTTCTTTGTTTATATTTTGTAACCGCTAAAGCGACAGCCATGCCACTCTTTCCATTGTACCAATCTGCAACAGCTTTCCTCAGGGCACGGCCCCACATGCCACATTTCATGCCCTCCTTCAGATCTTTCTTAAATTGGATGAAAGTAAAGAGATGGGTTGGTATGCAACACACCTCAGGAACAGCTTTAAATGCTGCTTGTTTCGTTTTGGCATCAGAACACTGTGAGCAAATTGCAAGAGCAAAAAGCAGGGGCTCCTGTTTTGCTGCTCTGCCTTCTTGACTAAATGTCTTTATTTCTTGAACAACTTCACAACCTTTACCCTCTTCAATCAGTCTTTTTAGAGCTTCTGCACTTTCAAAGCCCAGCTTCTGCTCCTTGATGTAGTAAGTACCACCTTCTGAACCAAAACACAAGAAGCGCTGCAGTCGATTCATATCGGTGACATGCCACACATAACCCGTTTCAGAGTTGGGCACCTGCTTTTCATCCAGGGGTTGCACTTGGTTTTCCTTGTCCTCCATTGTTTACACTTCCAAGAGGTCTGTTGAAAGAATAATGAAGTTTGTTCACAACTATCACGTAAACCAGATGACCTTTTTATCACTTCTAAGCAAAGTAAATGTATCTTATCTACACTCTTGTAATTTGTCCTTCATGAATTTAACAAGAGTATAGTCTCAGTGTGCAATAGCACCTATCAGGGAAAAGAAACAAAAACACCTCTTAGCTACAATAATGACAATTTCAGTTCTTCAAAACCAACTTAGAAACCAACTACTTAACCCCAGTAAGTGGCACACAGCAAACATGGCTCAAGTTATGTCCTTTATCACTAATATATGGCACCAATTTCTTAGGCAGATTTTTGGATTGCATATTAAACTGCTCAAAACTCAGATCTTGCCCTACTCTATTTTGCTGAAGAATTGGTGTTAGTGACCAACTGAGGAAACACTATGCCAAAATAAAGAAGTAAAATACTGGCAACCTGTTACGTGAGAAGACTTTTTGAGAATTTCAATGTGGCGAGTTTCAGTCAGGCTTAAATAACAGCTTTTTAACAACTGACAGATGCTTTATTACAGGCCCAAATACTTGAAGAACACCTAGCACGGTAACATTCAAGCCACAACACTTAGAACGGAATGAATGCAGGAGAAACAAAATCAGCAGGTTAAGGGGAAGAAAATTAACCATCCTCACTATCTCTAAAACATTAACATGACAACAACAAATTCTGTTGTCTGTGTTCTCACCAAGCAATAAAAAGACAATAAAGAGGTTCTGTTTAAAAAAAAGCACCAACAATACAATCCAGTAAATTGCAAAGAGATCGTGAGATCTGCACACTCAAATTACCTTTCAAAGAAATTCAGTTAACAATGTGTAAGCACTGCAGGTACCTCATTTTCACATGCTTATTTGGCTACTGAAGGTAACTGCCATTTTGCTTCATTCACCAGGATAAGTCAGAACAAACAGATGTCACTAATGCCGGCAGATAATTTTTTTCCTGAGTTTAGTTAACACACCGATTGACAAACTTTCTCTTTGGCACAGAATTTCCGTTCCTGCGCAGGCGGCCAGAACTGCAGCCTCCCCCGCCCGCGCCGCTGCCAGCAGCCAGAACCGAACAATACACGGTCACCCGTGCCCCATTGTGTTCTACACACTGCTAAACCTGTAAACATGGAAGGCACACACTGACACCACTGCAAGTCTCTGACATAAAAAAGGAAAAAAAAGAAAGAAAGGCATCCAAAGTTGGCACCCGAAGACCCGTGAGTGTAGCTGTCAGTTTCTATACCGAGGATACACACAAGTGACGGCGCAGCAGACGAGCAGCCCCAAACGACCCGGCCTGTAATCCCCTCACGGGTTCCCCCCGCGCGGGTGCCAGGAAGGGGGTGGCCGTTTACAGAGACGGCCCCTCCGGGTTCCGTCACCATCCCCGCTGAACGAGACCCCCCGCTCGGAGCCCGGCCCGGGCCCAGCCCGCAGCGTCCCC